CTTTCCTCTGGCCTCCACACACACCTGCATAGATATGAACACATATACATTTTTATCTTTTTATTTAATTTTTTCCTACAATACATTTTTGATCATGTTTTCCTCTTTCCCAACTCTCCCCACTTCCCTAAGCAGAAAAATTCAAAGTTTTTCTGGCATTGATGACTTACTAAGCTTTCTCAGTCTTGCCTGCAGCAGACCCCGGGGGGGGGGGGTTTTTTCCAGCCATAATTATCATTAATGAAAATTGTGCTGAAATAGCTTATTAATTTTATTAATCCCAGTGAATCATACACTGAATTGAATAAGCCCAGGTTAGTGCTCAAAATTCCTTTCCTTTACTTTCTTTCTTTTTTTCTTTTTTTCTTTTTTTTTTTTTGTGGCTTGTTTTTTTCTTTGTCCCTGATCCAGTGAATTTCAGAAAGGATAGTGTGCTAAGTGTTTTCAAAAAAAAAATGCAAGGAGTTCCACAGGATAGCCTCACTCCAGAGCTAGCAAGTCACTTGGCACATTGTAGGCACTTACAAATCCCTCACACTGAACACTGATTCTTAAAGCCCTATCTTTCCCCAAAGATCCCAGGAAGAGAGTGGGCTGAGCTCAGGCAAGGAACTTCTTGCTCTCCCTCAGTCCTTGGCCTTCCTCTCACACCTTGTTACTTTACAAGGCTGAGGAACAAGAGAAAATGCATGAGGAGCCCAGCAGAGAACCTGTTCTTGACTGACTTGACTAGCATGGTGTACGTTTGTCTGTAACCCCAGAATTAGGGATGATGTTAGATGGATCCCAAGAGCTCTTCGCCAGCCACCTTGCATAGTCAAAAGGGGCAAGTTCCAGGTCAGTGAGATGCCTTGTCTCAATGCAACGTTAAGTCAAAAGGAAACAAAGACCCCTATATCCTGTCCTGGCCTAGAAATCCAAATCAAATTTACCTTTACCCATATACTCACATGCATGTACCAACACACACACACACACACACACACACACACACACACACAAACCCCACAGGAAATAGAAGGCACCTCTCAGAGAGGCTAGTTGGGAAAAGTACTATTTTTAGCAAGGAAAATAAAAATAGATAATGAAAAAAAAATGTTCTAATTGAACTCCACTCATTAGTTCCTGCCCAGGGTCAGGTATCTCACTGGTGCTGGGTAAAATGATAAGCATGATTGGGCCCTGCTTGGGGGTTCTACGGGGAAAACCCATATGTAAATAAGCAAAAGGATCTGCCAGGGAATTAAAATGAATATTAGACCATGAAGAGGGAGTAATTAAGTCACTCTTGATGAGTGGGACTAGAAGACATCACTTTTAAACTATGCAGAAGGGAGAGAAGAAAAGACAACTTTTAAGAGAGCTGCACCATATGCAATTATGAACATTCAGTCCTGCCAGAGGTAGAATGGCCAATTCCATCTGATTTAACTCAGGGTTAGGGAAAAGAGGTTATAGAGAACTCCCATCCCTAACAACTCACATCAAGTGGCAGCAACTGCCAGTAGCTAGGTTCAGAGTAATTGTGGACACTCCAGGATAATACTAATGAATATTCGACATTAAAACTGATTAGTGATGTCTGCCCTGGCTACAGAGTTGTTAGGTCAGAGTGTAATTTAGACCCATTGTTATTCTTCACGTACTTAATAAGTCAAGGAAGAAATGTGTAAGAGCAGATATAACCACCCTATGAACATAGATGCTGGTTCACAGTAGTTGCATGGTCTCTGTTGGGATTGGAAGAAAACAAAAGACAGCATTCAAGGAACTCTTGAGAGGCTATGTATATGCTGGGTTGGGAAGTGCTTCCAACAATTTTGTAAACAGTCTTTATAGGGCTGGTTATACCCTATTAGCTACTTGACCTACTTTTTAAAACAAATATGCATTAGCCAGCCCTCTCCCTGAGATGCATGGAGGCTGCCCCATTCCTCTCTGTTGCTTTGTTTTTATTGAATCCAAAGCTTTCCTTTAAACAAAGGTCACAAAGTGGGAAGATAACTCACTCTAAGCACTTTGCAAATTAAATTAGAGCATGTTTTTAGGTAAAATAAAACCCAGGTCTTATGACCAAGCATAGATTTTGTTTCACAAAAGGTTAAAATCATTGTAAGAAGACTATTTCATTTTGTTCTGTCTTACTACTAAGGGAGCATTCAAAGAAGTGATTCCAGTTTGGCTTCTCAGGACCCACAGCTCAAGAAGAATGAGAGAGCTTCATTAAGCAAGCCCTTCCAGGGTTTAGCTTTCTACTCCGAATCTGTGTTGGGTCCCAGTGGAATTCTGCAGACTGCACTGAGGATATTGAAACTTGACCCAAGGGCTTTAACAGCAGATACTGAAATGGCCTTTAGCTGTGTTTTGGCTAAAATTAGATGATTTTCCTTTTTTGAAATTCTGGCACACCTTCCCCCAAGAAACTCCAGGTCCTGTTGTAAAGGTGGATTTTTAACCAAGGATACACAGGAGAGAGCAGCAAAAGCCATCCACCAAGATCTTCATGTTGGGGATTCAGAATCATAAATTTCTCTGCATCCTATAGTAACCTACATTTCTCTGTAAGATTTTTAGCGGTGAGAAAAAAAACAGCTGAGATACCCACCCACGGCAAGGGCTTTACAAAGGACTTGTTGCTGGGACAGCTGCCTGTCCTGGTGTGTAGTTCACCTCCCAGTGACTGATTTTAGAAGTCACCCCTCCCCACTAGTAGTTTATCTGCCCTTAATTCTCTTGCCAGTCACCTTTTGCAACCAGAAGTGTTTCTGGAAGGCTAGTTAGACCATGGCCTATCTTTTGTATGATATAAACTTATGAAGAAAGGAGAGGTTGACTTCAATTCAGCAGAAGTTTATCATGACAAGGGACTACCCAAGTTCTTAATGTACTGACTCCCAAGCTATGCCAGTTGGGTTCATTTTTATGCCATAACTATTTTGAGCACAAATGAAAAGGAGGCATGGATGGCTCTTCTCCAAGTACAAGCATAAGATGGGTGTAATGTATTCAAGCTAGTTTTTTGTCATAGGAATAGCATTAATAGATGGTGACTGGAAGAGGAGAAGATGGTTTTGGAGTTTAAATAAAATCTTTGTTTTGTGGGGGGAGGGGGACCAGGGAAATAGTTCAGTTGATGAAATCCATGCCATAAAAGCATGAGGAGGCTTGGTTCAGATTCCTAGCACCAGCATCAAAAGCTCAATGGTCTCAGGTTCCATAAGAGACCTCATCAAAAAAGTCAGATGGAGAACAACATAAGATACTTGATGTTGATTGCTGACTTACACACACGCACACACACGCGCGCGCGCGCACACACACACACACACACACACACACACACACACACACACACACACACACACACACACACACACACACACACACACACTCCTTTATTATAACCTGGAAATTGTTTTCAAACTCTAGAGAAGTACATAGAAAAGATGGGCCTGGGTTTGAAGAACTGCTAGTCTCTCCAATGTACCATGTCTCATGTTAGAATTTGAATGGGTTGGGCGGGGGGCACAGGGCTGACAGAAACATCAGCCTTATTGTCTCTGGAACACAAATGTCTCTTGGGAGTCATAACTACCTGTCTGTTGACGTGGTGGAATGTAGGGCAGGATGCCAGACCCCTTCCACAGGGTGGCCTTGTTCTTGAGATAGGCTTCTTTCCAAGGAAGAGGACATTCAGCTGCAGGATCAAAATAAGTGAGAAAGGCTGGCTCTGCCAGGTCAGGGAAGTCAACAGAGAGCACAGGGAAAAGTTTGCAGCATCCCTCATCGCTTTCCCCATATGCACTGAGCCTGCTCATTCTCTGCAGTCTCTGAGTTTGGCTTCAACAGTAGCAGAGGCAGATTAACACTCAAAAGAGGCCTCAGGCCAGTCCTTGATGTGGGTGGGTAATTTAAAGCAAGGCACAGAAGTAGGAAATGTCTCAGGACTCCGCCATTCCTTCCTGCTGTAAATTTCCATTTTACACAGATAAGATGGCTGCCCTATCCTTTAAATCAGATGAGGCAAGCCCTCACTGCAGTACCTGGCTGCCTGAAGGTCAGTTAAGCAAACCCTGCTGCAGGAGACAAAGAGATCCTGGGATGCTACCTGAAGCAAGTAGGCCAGCAGTTATCTCCCACAGGGTTGGGCGTGCATCCAGGATGGGCCATAGTGACAACATATCTGGCATTCTTTTCTTCCTTGCCTTCCTCCCACTCTTCCCATAAAGAAGTCATCCATCAAGATAAAACTTTAGGGCAGGCATAGGAAAAGTTGCCCCTAAACAAATCAATACCTGTACTTTCCATGTGTGGAGTAATTGTTAGGTGATAGCTCTTACTATGGATATGTTATGAAGGTAGGTACATATTTATCCCTGTTTCTCAGATAGGAATGATGAGTTTCAGAGAGGCACTATGACTTATAAAGATTGCATAGCAAAGGGGTGTTTCAGTCCAACTTACTGTCTGATTCTTATTGAGAGTTTAAAAGTTCATTTAAATTAGAATTATGACAAAGGCTTCCATTATGACATTTCATGTATATATTTATCTCATCAGTTCCTCCATTATCTTCTCTTTTTCTCCTCATACTCATATTTATTCCCTTCCAAAATATCTCTTTTACTTTCTTTTTGGGGGAAGAGAGATCAAATGCATTTACTTGAGGATGCTTACTGGAGTGTGGGTAATGGGTTTGTTGCTATTTCTTAAGACCCCTTTTGAGAATGCCATAGCACTCCTATTGCTGGTATGAAAGTGGGCTGTACAGCATTAACCAGACCCTTTAGTTTACCCTCATGTGAAATGGCATGGCATGCATTTGGTGGGGTATGCAGGTGGGTGGGTTTTCTCTGGTCTCTTTGGCTTCCTATGCTCTGAGATGTGGCTGTGTTTTCATTTCTCTGCCTTTCTTGTTTATGTTACCATGCTCTCAGATGTAGTGTGCTGTCCCCAAACCAGACACCATCTCTTTCTCTCTTTCTTTCTCTCTCTTGTAGGCACGGTGCTGTTGTGCCAGGCCAACCAGGAGGGATCTTCCATGTACAGTGGCCCCAGTTCACTTGTATATACTTCCGCAAGTAAGCCCACAGTTGTGGCTCTTTTTGTTTTGTGATATGTATATATGAGTCCACTCATCTCCTTGCCATGTAAGTCTCTCCCCTTCCTTAAACTCCTTCAGGGTGTCCTTTCCATAGGGTGGAGTGGCGTTTCATAAGCATGTCTGTTTCTTCATTGCCTTAGAATCAAAATCCCTCCATTTGCTCCCATTCATAGCAGTTCCACATCCCAGATATGTACTAGCCATTTTTCATTAAACCTGCCTTGACTGACTGTCATGATGGGCATTTGTTGGTTGGGAAGGTTGTGGGAGGAAGGGAAACAAAGCCATTTCCTGCATTTATCATAGCTCTGTAAATTAATGGTAATGTATTTTAAATGTGCAAGCCACCCAAAAGTCCCCAATAGTGTAGCAGGTATCTTGGTCTGTTTCTTTGTATATAGAAGGTTCTCTGTGGGAAATATGACCAGCTTATAGCTAGATTGCAAGGTTTGCAAGTCCAAAATGAAGGGAGATAAATTAAGGTTTTTCAAATTTCATTGGAAGGCAGCAATACAAAATGTTCTAATTAAATTGTATATATGTATATAAATACATGTATATGTAAATATGGCCACAGAGGGGCAGTGGTATGAGAGGAAATATACGGTTGGAAGGAAGGCCTGGGGAGCTCCCTACCTGATCTCCAGAGCAGACTGGATAACTAAAGCCAAACCCAGGCCCTTTGGGTCTTCTCCTTTTGTCTCTTAGTCAGTGTTCTTTATTTGTTATCTAATGCAGGCACTCTATGTAGTCCTGGGAGATTCCCTTAGTTGACAAAAGTGTCCTCTTCAGTGTTGGTGCTCAAAAATTAGCCTGCAGGTCCTTGGGAAGGTCACTCAGCTTCTGAAACAAAATCATGAAGGGTAGAGTTGAAGTGGAGGTTCATGACAGTCACAAAAATAAAAGCAAGGAGACTCCTCACTACTGGGAAAAACCTGACCCCTCAATTCCCAAAATATGAGAGTAGAACAAAATAGGTAGGCCACCAGAAGCCCAAACTGTAAGGATGACAGCTCTGGAACATACCAAGTGTATGTGGAATAGGCAACTACTTCATTTTCAAACCCAGGTTTGAATTGGTTAAATGAGCGTTATATTTTTCTGTGCCCCAAGAAATTCTAACCCTGACAAAAAGTTGCTCTTTCTGAATGGAGGTAAATTGTCCTTTGTGAGTCACTGTAAATGTTAGCTTTCTCCATGCCCACTCCAGGTAGGTACTGTACTACTTGTTTTACAGGAGGAAGTGGAAGACTCCTAGGACGGTGACTAACCTGGAGCCAGGGGAGTTACTCAATGTTCAGAGGCATTTACTGACATACTAGGTTCTTTGCACTTGCCTGCCCTTCTGTTTCTTCCCTATTATCTGGAGAAGAGTTGGTGTATTGTTAGTATTGTTAGTATTGGTCTCCAGAACTCGCAGAACAAATTATCTAATATGCATTCTATAGGACAGTGTGGGCAGGTCTCAGAGAAGCTAATTATTTGAATTCATCATGTTTGTTAGCCACACTGGGAAAGTAGTCAGTTAACATACTGGACAAAATGGATCTGTGTACTAGTGTGATATGCTTCCATCTTTTTTACAGAAGTAAACCAGACACACCTCAGAAAGGAGTCATTTAGATCTGTCTAGCTGCTCTAAAGCAAACTGGGGGCATGTTTTATATATCAAATATAGAAGTATCACATAAACTCACTGATAAAATAATGGGGAAAATGATGTAAGGATTTAGCCAACCAAAGTCACAGGCCAGACCCTATCCTTATCCATTCTATAAGAAATGTAAAACAAAAATGAGTGGAAACATGTATTATTGCCACATGTGATGGTCCATGGCTTTGATCCCAGTACTAGGGCACTTGGGAGGCAGGTGAGTCCTGAGTTTGATACCAATCAGGCTTATAGTTACATAGTAAGAACCCATCTTCAAAATAGAGGAAAGAAAATGTACATTTTATATTCATGTTTTTAAATGTATATTCTTCATAGGTGCCTGATATTCTAAGCAATTGCAAATTGTCTCTCTGCAGGAACAATGTCTAAGTTCTCATGCAAAGGGTCTTTTTTTCAGTACTAAGAATATATGGTGACATTACCGCCTCACATGTATGATTACACAAGCTTAGCTAGTTCCTATTTTAAGTGACATCAGTCATCTCACCTACGAATTTTCAATTTCTTATTGTCACAGATCGGCCATGTGACCTTTAGAAATTATGCTAATGGCCTCTTCAAATGCTATTGTTTAATTATATTTTAATCTGTTGTCCCAATTGCTGAATCTTCAAGTTCATAGCAATTATTTTCAAATATATTAAAATCAATGCCATTTTCCATAGCAGTCTTAAAGGAAGCAATTAATAGCTAATTTCATTAAAAAAAAAAAAAAGCACAACCTAGTTTCTTCCACTAAGATTCTTCTCTGGGTGTTTATCATAAGCAATAGTATTCTGATTGCCAAGCTGGGTGAGTATTTTGTCAGAGCAAGGAACTCTACTAGCAGTATGTAAAGGTTATTCACGACCTTTGGGCACACTGCCCAGGCTTCCTTTCTTCTTCATTGCTTTTTGATCCAGCTGTTTGCAGAGAGCTGGCACCTTGGCAAGACTTATCTGGGTTTTCTCTTTCTTACCAGTGAAAATACACTCTAGAACAAAGCTGTAGCTCCTGACCAAACCATCAAGCCAACATGTACAAGGTCCTTTTCTTTCAGGGAAGATTCTTACCTGGTGGAGCACTCCATATGATGGTGGAGCACTCCTTCCGATCTTGCTCTGAGAGCTGAATGATACAGTCTTTCTTTTGGAACCCTGCCTTCTATTTCCAAGGGAGGGCTCTCTTAATTCTAAGCAATGTTTCAGGGCATCATTTTTCATCTTGAAGATATACATATTTCTCATTTTTTTTTACTCACAATCATGTTCCTAGAAAAATGTATGTGGCAGTTAGACTCTGTGAGTTGTTTTTATGTAAGCTAACCTCTGATACTACTCATCAATTTGAGGGTTCTTTGCATTTTTTATTATATTTTTATTATTGAAATAAGTTTTAAATTTAAATAAACTTTGATCATGTTCTTCCCCTGCCCCAGGTCCTTCTGTAGTCACTTGATCACTATTTTTGTCGTTGTTTTAAAACCACAATTATTTAATTTACCCTAGGTCCTTGGGCTATCTAGTCTCAGGTTCCTGTTCACCTAAGCAGTGCTGGGTATGGGTCCCGTCTTGTGGAATGGGCCTTAAGTCAAATCAGTTATTGATCACTTCATGCAAGCTTTTTGCTACCACTGCTCTGGCTTTTCTTGCAGGTAGTGCACCATATTAGATCAAAGCATCTGTGGCTTTGTGTTTATGTTTATGTTTATGTTTCTCCTTTGGTAGCATTCAGAATACCTTCCTGTACCAAATAAACTAGAACATAGGAGTGGAGGCTCTATGTAGGCACCAGATTGACATGTTTCATAAGTTGTGTAGGTGCCTTGCTGTCGGTTGTGGAGAACAATCTACATATAGTCTTGGAAACAGGCTTGGTTGTTTAAAGATTCCCAAGGGGTCCTTTGGCCAGCAACTCAATTAGACATAACCCAATGCCAGTATTAGAAGCTTCTTGGGTAATAAGATATAGCCAGCTGGGAATCTGTATCTCCCATTATTTGGTGATTTCATTTAGATCACCTTCATATATGTGTATATTTTAGGAAGTTTCTACTGTATTCAATACTACCCCTCAAATTCCCCCAAGTTTTAGCCATCTCTCCTTGTATTCCCTCTCACAACCTCCTCTGCCCCCACCTTGATCTTCACACTCCAGCCCCCACTCTGGTCCATCCAACCATAATTATCTACTCTATGCCCTTCCCCAAGGAGATCTATCTGTTCCCTCTAATTCCTTACTTTATGTAGTTCTACAGATTATAGCTTGTTTTTGACTGGCTTAACATATAACCCACATAAAAGCAAATACCATATTTGTCTTTCTGGATCTGGGATACCTCACTTGGGATGATTTTTTTTTCTAGTTCCATCTATTTGCCTGCAAATTTCATGTTTTTTTTTTTGAAATGGCTGACTAATACCATTGGATAAATACATCACATTTTTAATCTGCTCTTCTATTGAAGGACATCTGGGTTGTTTCCAATTTCTGCCTACTGTGAATAGAACAACAGTGAACATGGTTGAGCAAGTGCCTTTGTGGTAGGATGAAGCATCCTTTAGGGTATGCTAAAGAGTGTTACAACTGTATCTTGAGGTAGATGGATTCTCATTTTTCTGAGGAACTGCCTCCACAGTGGCTAAATGAATTTTTACCCCCACCTACAATGTATGAGTATTTACTCCATATCTTTACCAGTGTGAGCTGCCACTTGTTTCAACTACCTGAGCCACTCTGACATAGACAGAAATAAGATGAAATCTCCAAGTAGTTTTGATTGGTATTTCTCTGGTGGCTTAGCATGTTGAACATTTCTTTAAGTATTTCTCCGATCATTTGAGTTTCCCCAATTTCAAGGAATATTACAGAGCTATATAAAACCAACATGGTGAAGGCACAAGAATAGTCATGCTTGTTGATCAATGGAATCAAACTGAAGACCCAGATATATATTCACACACCTATAGTCACCTGATTTTTATAAAGAGGCCTAAACTACACACTGGAAAAAAAAGGATAGCATCTTCAATAACTGGTACTGGCCAAATTGGATGTCAGCATGTGGATGAATGCAAATAGATCCATACTTATCACCCTACACAAAACCCAAAGTCCAAATGAATCTAAGACCTAAACATAAAACCAGACACACTGAGACTGATAGAAGAGAAAGTAGGGAATAACCTTGAACACACTGGCACGAGAGAAGACTTTCTGAATAGAACACCAGTAATGGAGGCACTAAGAACAACAATCAATAAATGGGAACTCATAAAATTGAAGAGCTTCTGCATGGCAAAGAGCACTATTACTTGGGCAAA